GATGGTGCGTGCTAATGCACATATCCAAGCCTGCCTTGGAGCTGCTGGAGCCGGGGAGTCGAGCAGCTCCGTTGCACGGTGCCTCCTTGGGGATCAGTGTCTTGTTTCATCAGGGCCATCTGCTTGCAGCACAGCCTCAGTCAGCTCCAAGTTCTGTAACAAGCTGCTCTCAGTGCTGGCTGGAAATGGTTGGAAAAATCCAAGTGTTGTAGGTAAACATGAGGCTGGCTATGGGATACAGCCATGCAGGGAGTTGTTGGGCTGGCAGGCATTTAGGGGTGTTGGTGTTCATGAAGAGGGGCACAGAGCTACTCAGGGGTGCAGACCCCTGCCAGGTGTGAGTGGAGCTGTTCTCCATGCCCGTGCCAATGGCTGGAAAGGATGGAATGGGACATGTCTCGTGTGCCCCACAATCCAGCACCGATAACCAGGCTGCCCTGAAGGCCAACACACTCAGAGGTCTCAGTCCTGCAAAGGCACATTCTGCAAATACTCACTTGCTGTTGATCAGATGTTGCAATGTTTATATTCAAGGGGTTGTTTGCAACTGGCAGAGCCCAGTGAAACTTACAGGAAATCCTTCACATCCCTTTTTGAATCCCCTTCTCCCTCAGCTCCTCTTCATCACCAGTTCTGTTGGCATCTGCAGGCACGAGAGCAGCCTGTGATACATTTGCCAGGGGTGGTTTTTTGAGCACCATTAGTTAAGCTAAGATTTATTTTGTTGGCTCTGTGTCCCTGGGGTCCCTGTGAGCCAGCTCATCAAGCGTGCAGGGCAGAGCTGACACTGCTGGAGAGGCAATGTCCGTGCACTCCCAGCATTTCAGAGAGGACATGGGAACTTCTCACAGCACCCCCTTGACAATGGCTAAACAAATACAATGTGAGCAGCCTTTCCATGCTAACCAGTATTTCCCAGTGCTCTTTTCCCCAGGTGTTTGCACCCAGATGCTGCCACTCCTCTTTCCCTTTCAGACCTGCAGCTGCAGCTCAAGCCAGAGGGTTAAATGTGCTTTTCCTACAGCCCTCATCCTCCATCACCCAGTGATCACTGCTTCCAGCATAAGAGGAGTCAGCCTGTGCTGCTTTCACCAGGATTTGGGCTGTGCAACACTTCATTGTCTACTAACAGGGCTTAAGAAGCAGTGGTTGTACATCCACACTGAGAGCTGATCCATGTGGAAGGTCATGTTAAGGCTGGAAGATGGTCTTTAAGGTCCCTTCCAACCCAAATCCTTCAAGGATTCTGTGATTTTTTAATGTCTGCCTCATCCAGTTTGGAAATACAGACCCACATAGGTTTCATTGTTTACTTTCAAATTTTAATTTTATTATATTTATTTTTGGTGTGAGTTTGCTTTTCGGAGGGTGTTTTTTTGTGTGAATTTTACAGCTCCACTTCACCACCCAAGGTAAGAGAAATGGTCCCATTCCAGTGGCCAATTCCCACACTGTGTTTAGGAACAAATGGAAGTGATGTTGTGTTTAATTATCTCAGCCTGCTTACCATGATATTTTCACTAATATTTGGGTTTAATGAGCTAGGAAATCTGGGCCATTGTGTGCTGGTGGATACACTCATCCTTTCTTCAGCTAAATATGTTATCAGATAGCTTCCACAGAGATGAGCAACTGCTTCCTTTGAACTCGGGAATCATCAGGATTCACTAATTTGCTTAGACCACCTGCTTGGCTAATATTACCACAGGCTCTTATTTTCCCTCTGAAATGGTAAACACAAATCTAAATGTTGCTGTACTGACCCTGGAGAAGAGGAGGCTGAGGGGAGACCTCACGGAGGGTGCAGCTTCAATCTCTGCTCTCAGTGGCAGTGACAGGGAATGGCTGGAGCTGTGTCAGGGCAGGTTTGGGTTGGATATCAGGAAAGGTTCTTCCCCCAGAGGGTGGTGGGGCACTGAACAGGCTTTCCAAGAAATGGTCACAGCTCCAAGGCTGCCAGAGCTCCAGGAGCGTTTGGACAATGCCCTCAGGCACAGGGTGGGATTTTTGGGGTGTCTGTGCAGGGCCAGGGGTTGGACTGGCTGATGCCAGCTCAGGATATTCTGTGATGCCGTGACCCACCCCAGCCCAGCATCTGCTCTGCCCCAGCCCACAACAACACGGACAATGCACAGCCCCACTAACCCCCTCTGCTTCCTACCCAGGCACTTGCAGCCCTGCAGAAATGCTCCAGCTGGATCTGCAAAGACCCCAAGGTCCCGCAGGAATTACCTTAGAAAAGAGAATTACCCTGCTTCTGCACTCAATCTGCCTTGTGTTTTGCATGGGGTGTCTTTGCTCCCAGGACACGTGGTCTGCACTTGGATTCTCCATCTGCCAGGAAGAGAGTTGGCCACAGGGGTGTTGGTGAGTGCCCCCACTGCAGTCAGGGAAGGAGATTTGCTCCCAGCCAGCTTGAGGATCCTTCCATCACACGGATCTGCACGGGCACCCGCCCTGCAGAGCACGGAATGCAGCAAGGAATTTCTTCCACGGGTCACAGATCTGTTTTTTAATTACCATAGAAACCTCCAAACATCAGGCGTGTGCTGTTACGTCAGGGTCTCACTCCTCCACAGCTGCCTCCTTGGGACACTCTGGGGAACAGGAACTGTGGGGTCCTAAATGGTGGGTGATTATTTTTGGATTCATTAGTAAGCGTGGTCTTGGTGTCTCCTGGAGCACAGGGTAGAAACCATGGCCTTGGTCCTTTTACTCTTTTCCTCCACAGCTTGCTGGTGTGGGGGGACACCATTTCCCACCGCCCTTCCCAGCCTCACAGAGGGATGAATTTGCTGCTTCAGCCCTAAATATCCTTCTCATCACTGCTATTCCCACTTCAGACATGCAAAATGCAAAACCTGGGAGGCGTTCTTGGCACAGCCAGCTTGGCAACCCTTAAATTAGCGGGGTGTGAGCGTTCCCACCCGGAGCTCCTCGTGCGGCGGGAGCCTCGCTCCGCGCTCCCGCGCGAGACGCGCACCCGGCGCGGCAGATGGTGCATCCTCACGGCTCCACGGCCATCCCAAAGCACATCCCGATGAGGGACGGCTCTCAGCACTTCGGTGAGGGGAAAGGGGCTCCTTGGTGGAGCATTCATTGGGATGGAGCCGGAGGACGAGGCAGATGGCCGGGGTTTGTTGGCAGGGAAGTCCCGTTTGTTTAATTAATCACCAGACAGACTGAGAGCTAAAAGCAAACTCCAAGTGTGGTGAGATGGAGCATTTGCACTTGATGTCTACCTGGTGATCCTCATCTCGTCATCCTGCAGTGGGACTGATGCTCCAGCACAGGGGACCAGGTGTTCCTGGTGATTTTGGGTGGCCTTTGTTTCCCCACTATTTTTCCCCCAAAGGGGGCAGATTAGACATGTGTAGCTTTAAAAGCAACCAAAGGATGCACAAACATGGAGTTTTCCTTTCTCCAGCTCCCACCAGAGCACACAGACACTTGTAGGGGATGGATTTCTAAAGCAGCTCCAAGAAAGCTGAAGAGGGACGTGGGACAAGGGGGAATGAGTCCCACTGCCACAGGGCAGGGGTGAATGGGATATTGGGAAGGAATTCTTCCCTGGGAGGGTGGGGAGGCCCTGGCACAGGGTGCCCAGAGAAGCTGGGGCTGCCTCTGAATCCCTGGAAGTGCCCAAGGCCAGGTTGGACAGGGCTTGGAGCAGCCTGGGACAGTGGAAGGTGTCCCTGCCCATGGCAGGGGGTTGGAATGAAATGAGATTTAAGATCTGTGATTCTGTGACTCACTGATGGAGGGGTTCAGTCTCCCCTTTGCCATGATCCCATCGTGTCTCCCTCCCAGACCATGTCCTGACACCTGGGCATGTCTCCCAACCCTGAGCTTCCCTGTCCTCAAAGTGATGAGAACAGGGAGACGCTGCAAAGGTAAAATCATGGAATCATAGAATTGTTAGGGTTGGAAAAGCCCTCTGAGATCATCAAGTCCAACCATTCCCCCAGCACTACCAAGGCCAACAGTGACCCCTATCCCCAAGTGCCACATCCACATGGCTTTGAAATCCCTCCAGGGATGGGGACTCCACTAACCTGAGCAGAGGTACCAGTGTCACTTGTTCTGGAGCACGAATCTGGTATTTTGGGGACTCCTAAAGGGGCTCTGAGAGAGCTGGAGATGCACTTTGGACAACAGCCCGGAGTGACAAGACAAGAAGAAATGGCTTAAAACTGACAGATAGTCCCACAAATAAAAAGCCCACAGATAAAATCACTTGACACCTTTATTTTTGCTTTATAAAATGTTTGATTATGTTCAGTATTCGATGCCTTCTTGCAAACACTTGTGCTTAGGGTTTTTTCTCCCCCATTCCCCTTCTTGTATACACCTGTGTCACTCACCCCTTGAAATTGAATGGAAATAAATGAAAAAAAAAGAAAAAAAAGAAAAAAAAGAAAGGAAATAAATGAGAAATGGGAAAGGGAAATAAAATCTACACAGGAAATGATAACCCAAACACAAATCCTGTCCCTGCACACTTGGAGCTTGATGGGGTTAAAACCATGTATATTTAACACGTATATCTAATATGCAAAACTCTGGGGAAAAAAAAAAAAAAAGTTTTAAAAATTACCATTAGGGGACGAAGCCACATTTACCAGAGCCCAAAGCTGCGCTTTTTCCCCCCAAAACATCCCCCCCTGCCATTACCCCACAGCCCACTAGAGGGTGGTTTCCTCCAGCGGGAGCTCCGCGGGCCGGCTGCGGCGCGGGGAGGGGATCCGGAGTGTGTTTTTCCAGCATTCCCTGTGCGGGAGGAGCGCCCAAAATTCCCGGGGGGAGTGGCAGAGAAGGGGGGGGGGACAGAGGGGACACACGGGGGACGCGCGTCCCCCTCGGGCTCCCCCCTGCGCCGCGCGGCTCGGCCCCGCCCACCCGCCGATGACGTCACCCGTATGCAAATGAGCGACATGGGGGAGCGGGGGCCCGGCGCGCGGCCGGGCTCAGTCTCGCGCCGCGGAGCGCGCGCGCGCCCCCCCCCCCTCCCCTCTTTTCCCTTTTCCCTTTTCCCGCCTCCTTCCCTCATTTCCCCCCCCTTCATCCCATGGACATGGCACGGCCACCTTAAAACGCCGCGCCGCCCCCCTCCTCCCCCGATCGCCGGGGCCGGTATGAGTCAGGTGAGTGTGTTTTTATACGGAGTGCGTGTGCGGGGGAGAACTTTTTTTGGGGGGGGGGGGGGTTTGGGGGGGGGGTCCCCCCCCCCCCACCCCAAAGGGGGGGGGGTGGGGCACGGCCCCCTTAAAACGCCGCGCCGCCCCCCTCCTCCCCCGATCGCCGGGGCCGGTATGAGTCAGGTGAGTGTGTTTTTATACGGAGTGCGTGTGCGGGGGAGAACTTTTTTTGGGGGGGGGGGGGGTTTGGGGGGGGGGTCCCCCCCCCCCCACCCCAAAGGGGGGGGGGTGG